GATATTCTTTAATTTCTTTCTTTAGTGTTCTGTAGTTTTCATTATAGAGGTTTTTTACCTCTTTTGTTAGGTTGATTCTCAAGTTGTTTTGTTTGTTTTTGAGGCTATTACGATTGGGGTAGTTTTCCTAATTTCTCTTTCGGAGTATTCATCACTAATGTACAGCAATGCATTTGATTTATGGGTGTTGATTTAATATTCTGCTACTTTGCTGAATTCATTTATTAGTTCTAGAAGTTTTCTGGTGGAAATTTTTGGTTCCTCGAAGTATAGAATCATGTTATGGAGGCATCACAATACCAGATGTTAAATTATACTACAGAACAATAGTAACAAAAATGTCATGGTATTGACACCAAAACAGACATGTAGATGAATGGTACAGAATAGAGGACACAGAGACAAACCCACATAAATACAGTTACCTCATACTAGATAAAGGCACCAAAAACATACATTGGAAAAAAGATAGCCTATTCAACAAATGGTGCTGGGAAAACTGGAAATCCATATGCAGTAAAATGAAATTAAATCCCTTTCTTTCCTGCATAAAACTCAACCCAAAGTGGATCAAGGTCCAGAGACTCTGCATCTAAAAGAAGAAAAAGTAAGCCCAAATCTTCCTCATGCTAAATGAAATAAGCCAATCCCCAAAAGACAAAGGCCCAATGTTTTCTCTGATAAGTGGATGCTGATTCATAATGGGGGGAGGCAAGACAAGGGAAGAATGGAAGAACTTTGGATTGGGCAGAGGGGAGTGAGGGGAGGGGAGAAGGTATGGGAGTGGGAAAGATGGTGGAATGAGACAACATTATTACCTTATGTATGTTTATGATTGCATAAATGGTGTGTACCACATCCTGTAGAAGCAGAGAAATTAAAAGCTGTGTTCCATTTATGTAAAATGATGGAAATGCATCCCACTGCCATGTATAACCAATTAGAACAAATTTTAAAAATTCAACTGTCATATCTTCCAGCTATTAATTTGGATTTCCTCTTACTTTGATGCCTTGCATCCTATCCCATAATTGAATGTGAATTTAGGCAGAATTCCTAAATGTTTCCTGAATTGCGAATTAGATTTCGAAGGGCTCTAAAAGACCCATCAAGATACTATAGTGAATTCAAGATGGCAGCTAACATCTTATTTTTAACAGTAGAGCATAATCTTTTATGTAGTGCTTAAATTAAAAAAAATAAATCTCAGATGTATAATTTTATTTATAAAATTTATAAATTTTATAAATAAAATTATACATATTTTATTTATAAAATTTTATTTATAAAATTTTTATTTTAACTCATTTCTTTCTCTTTCTTCTTTTTGGACTATCCAGCCATTTTTTCTTTTGAATTGGTCATTTGCAAAGGGTCTGGGATATACTAATTGTCCTGTGCTAATAAACAGTTTTACAATTGTATAGTGGAATCCAACAGTAAATCACCAGTCCTTGCCACAACATGTCTACATGACGAAGGAACAATCAAATCCCTTTATCTTGCTTTTGTGAAGTGATGATACATATGAGAATTAAGAATCAGAGTTCAAAAAGTTAATAAATGGGAAAATCATAGCAAAGATTGCTCCTGGACAATTGATTGTGTTATTGTAATTTGTGACAGAATTCTCTATTCATTCTTCTTGGGAATTTACAATCTAGTTTGCATGTGTGTAACTAGAGTATTACCCTATAACAATATATCAAGGTAGCACAGTAAAGTCCAAAATGGGTACCAAGGGTATAGAGTCAGTGAATCATAGGGTTAAAACTAAAATATAGATCTCCTGACTCCTAGTCAAGTTGTCTTATAGTTAATTTGAATCTGAGTTTAACTTTTCTGAGTCAAAGGGACATTCAGTTAGAAACTGTTCTAAGAAGAAAGGAAAGAGATGAAGTTGGTGTCTATATAAAAAAGGAAGCAAGGCCAGACGTGGTGGTGCACGCCTATAATCCCAGATCAGGAGGCTGAGGCAGGAGGATCACGAGTTCAAAGCCAGTCTCAGCAACTTAGCGAGGCTCTAAGCAACTCAGTGAGATTCTGTTTCAAGAAATTAAAAAAATGGCTGGGGATATGGCTCAGTGGTAAGTGTCCCGGAGTTCAAACCCTGGTACCCACCCCCACCACCACCACCACCAACAACAACAACAACAAAAATAGGAAGCAAGATGGCAGGACAGAGAGCTCTCAGACTTAGAAAAGAAAAGAAATTCCTTCAAGTGGATAAGTCAACATGCTGAAGTCCACTTAAATAAGGCCCAAAACATCACAGGCCTCATTTTGACAGATAGCCTCAGAGTTAGGATGTGAATATGATATGGAACCCAGCAATTGGAGGCAGACCAATGTAGATCCAAATCAAACCCATGACTAGCTACAGGGTCTTACGCTAATTAATTTACCCCTGAATCTTTAAAATCCACCTTCAATCTTTAAAATTGCAATAACAAAAATATAAACAAGTCTACATACAGAGTTTTGAGCAATGAAATAAGGTAACATTTGTAGATATCACCTAGCAGGATGCCTGATACGGCATAGCTACCAAATAGGTGAGTTGCAGTTGTTTTTCACGCACTTTCCTCACTTGTGGTCAAGCACATAGAATTTTGGAATCAGAGAATGAATCAGTAGAATCCTTACAGCAACAAGTAGTAGGAAACTTGGCTCATATATGCTAGTCACAAGGCAGGGTGTACTTGAAGGTCAGTGGATAAAGCACTTCAAGAATGCTCTCAGGAACCCAGGGTTTCTCCAGTTCACTCTTCCTGTCTGAGTGTGACTTCATCAAATGCCTGTTTTCCCCAGTGTTTATGGGATGGCTACAATAGCATTCACATCTGGTGGGTAAAAAAGAATGCTTCTCCAATTCATCAAAATTCCTCCTGTCCAGTGTGAGTGATCCAAATTAGGTCACTCTCCTTATAGAATAATTGTTGCCAGAGGAAAGCCAGACTCAGATTAGCTCAGGCCTGATTCTTGAGCCAATCACCAGCAAAGAGGACGAGAAAGGCTCACAGAGGGTCTGGTTCATAGTACATACTCAGCAAATGTTAATAGACATTAATATTGTTCTTTATCCATACAGTTTCATATTGTATAATAGCTACTTTTAAAGTGTCTTGCCTTGTACCTAAATTTTTTTAAAGATATGAATATTTTCATTTTTTTAATCCTCAAATTCTTACTTATTATAAATGTCCAAATTAGTTCTTTAACAAATGAATGAATATATCTCAAGTGAATTAATAGACTTGAAAACAAGAGACAGTAGATTTAAAAGAAAGACAACATGGTAGAGACTGGATAGAGTACAAGTTAGATGGGACATGGGGGAAGAAAGGGGCCTGAATGAGAGAGAATATATTTGAGAAAAAGTATTTCTAGACAAGGAGGTGTTCTCTGAAGACTAGAGGTGGTAGCAAGTACGCAAACCAGATGCAGTTTGAGTTGAGGGCACCTAGTTTACTTATGGAGGCTGTGATGCAATTTGATAAATAATATTTAAATAAAACTCAGATGAATGCTTACTGTGATTTGAGGAGATAGAAGAATAATTAAAATAATCACTTAAGTACTCAATATGTTCCAGGCATTGTCCTGAATGTTTCTTCTTTAATAAACTCATTTAATCCTCAAAAACAACTCATGGGTTAAGAAATATTCTTGTCATCCCCAATGCATTTATACATAAGAAAATCAAGCCCAGAGAGTCTTAGCAACTTGCCCATATGCCATAGCTATTAGCAAAACTGAGATTTATATTCAAAGAATCTGACTCAAGAGTCTGTATGTTTAAACATTACACTACTCTGCATCTCTAATAAAATAGAAGGGTACTCAGAGAAGCCACACTACATGCCTGAACCACCATGCACCCCAGAGCCAACCATGCCAGTAACTATGAGGACCACAGCAGGTCTCCCAGATCACTGAGAGCCAAAAGGCACAATAGGAGTTTACAGCACATGAGTTTCTTCTGGACCTCAGATTGTCCTTTCATAATTCCCAGCACATAACAATGGTGGTAGAGAGTGCCAACTGAAGAAACACTTGTTAAATGAATGATTGTGTAGCTGGAGCCACAGATTACAATACGTATGATGTGCTCACCTATTTTCATGACAAACTGACTGTCATGAAAATAGGTGAAAATTTGGTAAACTGTCTTTTAAAAACTTGCTAGGCTTTCAAGATAAAAAATCCTGTTTGTAATGGCATTCAGAGGAGTGCGAAAGAGACACGGAGAGATCCTCTGTGTGCAGAGGATGTATGGTGGGTTGCAGTGATTACAAAATTGTGTGTCCCTTTCCAGGGACTTTCAGAAGAATTGCCAAAGATAGAGGAAAGCACAATCAGCCATTGGGGAAAAAAGGAAAGTCTAGTAAGGAGGATCTCCAAGGAAATTGAGGGAGGAAGGATCATCAAACTATCCTTTCTTCAGGAGGAATCTACAAACAGTAAAACAAAGACAAAGACATAAGTAGGAATTTTGGGGGTTTGGTTTGCATAGATCTGATTTTGATCAAACTTAAAGTTGAAATTCTAGCATTTCCCCTTAGCTCCAACCACCCTGCTGCCTCTATGGTGAATGTTCAGGAAAATGAGACCTCCCATGCCTTCTAGAAGGCTGTTCTCCTCCAAGAGTTAAGTTTCTAGAACCACATGTAAACCACAATACAGGTTTCAGATTCAGCTGAATAAGTACAACCTCAAGACACAATGGTGAGTGTTGAGATCCCTGCACTGGAAATTTCTGTGCTCATCCTAACAATGTGGTCTCATCTTTTACCTAGAAAGATCTTACTCATTAGAAATAAATTAAAACATTATTTTCCTTCATTCTCAAATCATTTGTAATCTATGAGGAATGTTCTAGAAGGTGTTTTCATATCTAATAGTTATCGATGAAAGGCAGTTCATTTATAAGTTTATCTCTAAAGGGAGTTTTTAAAATATCATTGTGCTTACATACTCTTATAAGAAAATATCTTCAGCTTGCAGTCTCTGAAGGAACAAAATCAAAACTGCTCGAACAAATTACTTGGCTGGAGGAAAAACTAAAGGCTCTGGACCATAAGGAAGCCATTTGGGGACAGCATGAGAAGATGCTTCTTTTGAAAGACCAGGTATGTTGTGGAGGAAAAATCATCTTTATTTCAAAAGTTAACTAATCTTGTACAATTCTGCAAAGCATTTCTGGCAGTTGACAGTTCATATTTAAAATCATGATGATAAATAACAACTTTTGTATTTGATAAAAGTAATTTTATTCCCTGGTGAATATTGGCATAAAATTAATTTAGTTAGCTCCATTTTAAAGTTTGTTTGGTTTGTATTCTTTGAAGATGTTAGCTGAATTATATTTATTTTGTAAATGGTATTAGCTGTATAATTATTTCTAAGGTTTTTTTGTGTTGTTGTTGTTTGATGTTGAACCTAAGCAAGAAATAGTTTCTGTGTACCAAAACAAGTGCCTCATAAAATTTGGCATATGTTTTTAATCAGTTATACTATAAGAAATGACTAATCTCTGGACCTTTATATGTTTATCATTATATCATTTGCATCTTGTTTAACCCAAAGGGTTTGTGTCTGCTTTAATGTAAAGGTGTATATGTGTGTGTTATAAGTATTGGCATTAACATTAGCACATTAAGCTAATATTTTTCCCAACCTTTTTCTAGTCCTTAACATTTTTGTGTGTTTTGACATCAGGCTCTTCTATAGAATGAACATAACAGGTGCAGGGGTGGGAGGGATGATCTAAAACACCTAGCTAAGATAATAGTGCCACCACTATTACTCACAAGACTTGAGGACTAGTGCATATTTATATCTGGAATACTTTGAATATTTATATTGGTTTCTAACCTTTTCTCCCTTTCAGTGCATTGAGAACCTGCAAGCTGAATTAAAAGCTTCCGAGGAGCAACTCATAGCCTATGTAAGTGTTTTTCTCCTTTTTCCATCCCTTTACTTATATTACTGTCATCCTGAAAATGACAGAAATTTGCCAGAAGCTATAAATAAGGTTTGCCCACTGCAAACCAATCATAAGACTAAAAATCAGTACTTACACTGCCTCTACAGAGCTGCCCTCCATAAATAAAGTTCTCATTTTTGTCGATGATAATAATGACAAACTGAGCTCTTGGATGTAGCCAGATGGTTTAATCAAGTCTATCCTGATGGCCTCTGAGGAATAAGAGAACTGGAAACTAATGGTAAAAATGGATGCCCAGTCTAGGTTAGTGAGCAGATGGAAGGAGATATTATGGCAATTATTGACCCATTGAATATAAATAAGTCTAGAGCAATGTTTTTGAAGCTTTCATGTATGTAAAATTTACCCAGAAACATTCTTACAGCAAGTTGCCCACAGATTCTTCTGTTTCCTGGATACCCAGGGTGGGGCATGAGGATTTGCACATGTACATGATTCCAGATTCAAGGGACACTGATGATTCCAGTCTTTGGATTACACTTTGAGCAGCATGTCATCCATAATACTCCTTCTGTCCCAGACTTGTGAGTTTGAGGCAAATGACTCCATAAACCAATCAGAGTACAGAATTGTCCTTTTTCTCCTGCAAATGCTCTCCTGAGTGAGACCTCATGAATTTCTAGGGCAAATTTTATTTATACTTTAGCTTATATTTGCTAAGAGTGAACATCTCCTATGTTCTCATGCTCACAGGCCAGTCACCCAACCTAGTGTCTTAAGAATGTCTTCAAAGACTTGCTTGCCATCCTATTATTCATATCCTCCAACTATCTTGGCCACTGTGGGTAACCTTTTGATTAAAGACAATGGCCAGCCATGTTAAATGGGCAATCTTAAGACCACTAAGTTATTCGCACCTAACACCTAAGAGGCTGCAATCCAGAAAACATGCAGAAAAGACTGCAAATTAACAAATTCTGGTGGCCATCCTATAAGGTTTGAAATGAACTGACCTGGGTAAAATCTCAATAATTTTCCCATTTTTGTACTGGAGAAAAGAAAAGCTGATTTGCTGTGGCAGTTAGCAGAAATTTAACTCTAAATTCAGAATCATCTGTGGCCCAATACTAAAAATGACTCATGCCTGCATCTGTGGCATGGTGACCTATTCTAACAGAAGTATGCCTCATTAGCCCCAAATTCTGTTGCAAATGCCTCTCCCTTGGCCCACCCCTGAGGGTGCCTGGTAATGATTATTGTCAGAGGAAATCCCCAGCTGACAGAATGTTACCTATAGCCATAGGCATGGAGGTTTGAGCTCAAAAATTTTAAAGGAACAGATATATTCAGTAAGGTTCTGATATTATCTTCCAGCAACCATGAAAAACAGGAAAAAAAATGTTGTCACTGGTGCCTTAGGGGAATTCCTGTGGTATCTTCCTCTAATCACCTGGTTTCTATGGATTCTCTTTCTCTGTCATGCAGCTGCTGTCTAAGGCTTGTCTGAACTGGGATTGCTTCCTTGCATGGTGTATTGAGATTTTGCATATATAACTGTCCAACTTCCAGGCTTCAATATAGCAGTGTATTCATTAAGGTTTTGCTTAAATTCATCAAGAAAAATTTAAATGAAAACCATATTAATAGTATCTATCAAAAGTAGACAGTATTTTCCTCTATTATGGAAATGTTTCCTATATTATCTATTTTAAAATCTCACTACAACTCAACAAGGTGAGCATTATTCTTCAGATAAAAAAAAAAAAAACTGATCTTAAAAGTGTTAGATTAAGCCAGACACAGTGGTACACACCTGTAATCCCAGTGGCTCAAGAGGTTGAGGAAGGAGGATGGCAAGTTCAAAGCCAGTCTCAGCAATTTAGCAAGGCCCCAAACAATTTAGCAAGACCCTGAATCAAGATAAAATATAAAAAAAAAAAAGGACTGTGGATGTTGCTCAGTGGTTAAGTGCCTCTAGTTTCAGTCCCCAGTACCCAAAAAAGAAAAGAAAGAAAGAAATATTAGATTGCTTGTCACACTATGAAACCCATGATTTTGTGATCACAACTCTTCAAGTAATATTCTCTACATGCCATTTTTGGTGTCAAACAGAGTTTCTAAAAGTTCTATCTCCAAACTTCTTTTCACTTTCTATTCACTCTTGATGATTCATCAGTTCATAATTCTTCAGCTCTCACTTCCACGTAAACAAACAACCACCCCCACCCCCACCAAGTTCTTTCTACCTTAATCATCTCCTGATTACCACTTCCTAAGTGTTTTAATGAGCATTTCTTAGAACATTGTCCCTAGAGAAAACATTCCACAGGATATTAATTGGTATTCTAAAACAGGGGAGGGGGGCTGGAAACATAGTGAAGTCAAATGGGTTTATTTCCTACAGGATGTATCCATGTATAACCAATCCCCAAAGGTGTTTTTTTAGATCCTGAAAGATGTTTTACAATACACAAAACTTGGAGACCGCTAACAAAGTGTATTAAATTGAAGCACTGTGCTTCTTAAACATGACTGAAGTATCTTGCTGACACCCCAGTTCAGCATACACTAAGACAACTTTATGATTGTCTATTCCCAACTCCAGGATATGTCCCTTTGCTTCTATATCCCAGCCATGGGGATTACTATCACATTACTATTATCTATTCTATGTTTCACCTACAAAACAGCTGTGAAATCCCATCTCTCTGTGCCTCCATCCTACATGTAGTTGTTAACTACAGTTAGTTGTTAATCCTTCAGTATATTTCTGCAAGTCCTCTTACTTCTATGTCTTTTATTCCATTATACTGCTACTTTCCTGGTTCTTTCTGATCATCTTAATTTGACTGGCCCCAAATAATTAATGTATGTGAAGTCATAGCTTCTTATTGGTTGCCTCCCAGGAACAAGTGGCCCACTTGTTCTGACAGTACCAGGTCCTGTTTGCTAAGAAGATAAAGGATGAAAATCCATGTGTAAAGATTTGAAGTGAGGGTTTGGGGTGTAGCTCAGTGGCAGAGCACTTACTTGACATGCATGAGACCATGAAGTTCATCCATAGCACCAAAGGGGGGAAAATAATTGAAGTGGGTATAGAAAACCAGACAGAATCAAGGGATGACATTCACAGGCAGAATGTGACCTACTGGAATGGCCAAAAAACATTAAGAAACCAAGGTGTTTAGAATGGAACATTGTAGGCAGGGTCAGATTAAAAGGCCCTTGGAAATTCTGGAGGTGCCGAAGACTAGGAAATAATAAGAAGGATTAATAAGAGTCCACTGGCAGTATGTACCTGAACTCCCTTAAGTGTTTGAGTGTCGTGTTAAGGTTTGGAATTTCTGTTTGAATGCACTTTCTTAAATGTAACACCTGTAGGACTTGACCATTCTGGTTTCCCTGTCTCCACTCTGGATGAAGTATCCAAACACAGCCTCTACTTCTCATCTCCTCTTCTCCTTCCCTCCCCTTTCTCCACTCTAGTAAAAGAGAGTTTCTGTCCTTCTTTATACATACAGTATCATGTGATGCCCTGTGACATTGCTTGCAGTATTCTTTTGATCAGAATATCTTCCCCTCTCCTCCTTGACCAAATAACTCTTAACTCTCCTTGCAAGAACACCATGCTGGGTCAACTTGAGTCCCCGAATTACTTTCTATGGGTTCCTATACACTCAGGGATATAATAGCTATTAAAGAAATCTTTAGACAAATTAAATTGAACACAGAACAAGTCAAAATTTGGGCAACACTCAAAACCAGTAGAGGTCCAGAGGGCTCCAACCAGCGGCAACATGAGCAGCAAGGTTTTATAGGCTGAACATAGAAGCAACGTAGAAAAATCACCTGATTCATGGCAGCTAGACTTTTATGTTATTTGAGCTTGGAATGATGAGCATTTGCCTTATCTGGGCATGGTGTGGTCATTTTCACACTTGTGATTGGCTGTAGACCAGCTATTTTCTGGAAAAAAAAAAATGGTTCTAAGGAAGAGAAAGGGGATCGGTGGTGACTGGTAAAAGAAGAGGGTCAGAGAAAGCAAGGGGGTGGGGGGATAGGATAAATAATATACATGTTATTTCCATGTTATGAATATGCCACCATGAAGCTCATCGTCCTGCGTAATTAAAATGTACTACTAAAAATAAATACACTCCCAAGTTGTTAGGTTTCATTTTGTTGACATACTAAGTCAGGTTGCAGTTTGTCGCAGAGAAGCCCAAAGGGTTTAATAAAGCTCAGTATCTCCATTTTGTTGACAATACCTGTTCATGCATCTAACCTCACTAGACTTGAAGGTCACTGAGGGCAGTACCAAGAATGTGTGTTTGTGTATCCACTATACCAACTACAGTGCCGGGTTCATTGTAGCCACTCAATGGCAGTTGTGGCATTTACACATTCTCATCTGTCCTTTCATTCAACAAACAATCTATTCACCATCTTCTTTGCAACAGGAGTAGGTATGAATAAAGCTAAGTCCAGCACTTGGACAACTGAGTTGATGGAATACAATAAAGGCTAAAAAAAGAGATCCATAGGATCTGCCCTAGAGGAAGAGTCAGCTATTCCCCAGGGGTCAGAGACGCTTGTCACCTGGGGAAGATGAGCACCAGGAGTTGAAACGTGAGTGGCCCCCTCTGAATTTGGAGGTATCCTTAGTGAATTTCACGTCAGCACCATCACTGGGTACCAACTGTCAGTAAAGGGCAGAGGGAGAGTATCAGGAGATGATGCTGTGTCCAAATAGCAATAGGACACTGAAATAACTGAATGGATATACCTCCCCAAAAAAATTCTTAAAAAATTGCTCAGGCTAAATATAGCCTTAGTCTGATCCCTTTTCCCACCTCATCTCCAATATATATCTGTAGCCCCCAAGGGAGTCAAGCATCCTTGTCCCTGGGAGCTTTGAGTAATTCCTTTCCACTTGGAATGCCTGTCCCTGCCACTGAGTTTCCCATTCTTGATCAATATCATTCCTTCTAGAACCATCA